CTACCTACCTACCTACCTACCTACCTACCTACCTACCTATCTACCTAACTACCTATTTCCTTACCTACTTTCATACCTACCTACCTACCATCCTAGCTACCTACATACCCAACTATCTATCTACCTATCTTCTTTACTACCTACCTACCTAACTACCTACCTACCTACCTACCTATCTACCTACCTACCTACCAACCTTTCTACCTAACTACCTACCTACCTTTCTACCTACCTACCTATCTCTATCTATCTCACCATCTATCCATCTCCTACCTACCTACCTACCTACCTACCTACCCATCTTTTTATCTATCGATCCATTTACCTACTTAGGTTACCTAATACTTACCTTCCTACCTAACTACATATCTACCTACCTTCCTTCCTACCTACCTACCTACCTACCTACCTACCTACCTACCTACCTACCTACCTACCTACCTACCTACCTACCTACCTACCTACCTACCTAACTACCTACCTACATACATACATATATATCTACCTACCTACCTACCTACCTACCTACCTACCTAACTACCTACCTACATTCCTAACTACCTGCCTATCTATCTATCTCCCCATCTATGCATGTATTTACCTTCTTACCTACCGACCTACCGTACCTACCCATCTATCTATCTATCTATCTATCTATCTATCCCTACTTGCCTACCTTCCTACCTAACTACCCATCTATCTATCAATCTATCTATCTCCCTACCTACCTATCTACCTAGATACATATCCCTCTAGCTATCTATCTTCATATCTACCTACCTACCCCTGTATCTACCTACCTATATATATCTCTATCTAAAGTAACTATACTGCAGATATATGTCTGATTACAGTCAATACAGAATATAATATACTAACAACAAATATACAAATATACAAACATATTTGGATATAAATACAAAAATAGACTTTAACAGTTTATGTATGAAGTACCAATGGAGGGGTTCCTTAGAGGGACTGCAGGGTGTAGGCATAATGTCAAGAACTCCATGTTCTAAGGGGTATGCTTTAAATCTTTGTCTGATCATGGTTGAATGAGATATCCATAATTTTCTCTTTGAATCTTGAACAATTAAATATTTCAATTGTCGGGATTCTTTAAAAGTGTTTTGCGGAGTTATTTTGAAGAAGCAATGAAGGAAATTGAGAGAATTTAACACTTTCAGAAAGCAAAACGACGATATCTTCTTCAATATTAATTAGATAGAGGTTTTTAGGGTACCGTTGTGAATCAAAGCTTTTCAAATTGCTGGTCTCTTAGCCTACACTCCTTTTTTATGATTGAGAATTTTCTTTTTGATTTTGTGCATTACATTTTTTACCTTCACTCAAAATCTAGAACTGAAACCTGGAAAAGGTACAAAATAGTAATCTATAGTGTGTGATGGTAAAAAAACATAAAGAATAATAAAACATATATTTCCCTTGTGTTCTCCTTGATATCGATTTCTTTTGTGATTAATATATAATGAGGTTAGCGCCAAAATGATTAAACCATTTATAATTTATTATTTTAACTTGTTTTAACTATTTCTTTTACAATTTATTTTTCTATATAAACTAAAATGGTTTCTTCATTCGCTAAAGGCAGAAAGGGAAATCAGTGTCCTAGTTTAATGAATTTGAGCCGCGGTTTTAATCTGCCCAAAACCGGTTTCAATAGAGCACCGGCTTAAATCTTGAAAAATTGAATACAGTTTTAAGTGGAACCAACCATATTTGAGTTGCGGCTTTAATTTAATCCACGGCTCAAATTCTTTAAATTCGGCCTGAAGCCGGATATCTCCTCTACTGTTTAATCTGTTTTTCTAATATTTTGGCCTAAATATTAGCTTGGTAACAGATGAAATCTATGATAGTGTAGAGCTTTCCATAAGGGTTTCCTTTTTAAGTTGACGTATGTTCTGAATTTATAGATAAAAAAAATATCATTTAACAAAAGATCAAGCTTCCCAAAATTAAAAATTCATATCTTTAACAAGTGTGAATGATTTTCATAATTTATCTTAAAATCATTTTAAATAATTTTATCCATCATACTTTATTCTCACTTTTTTGTTATCAATCATAATTTGTCAATGAATAATTTTTAATTTTTATTTATTATTTTTAATTTAGGTATTTAATATTTTAATTATTGATTCTAATAAATTATCATTGATCAATATTATTACTTATCTATCACATATATTAATTATCTATTAAACATTATTTAATATTACTTATCAATATTAAAGGGACTGTACGCATAATTTTAAGATAGCAATGCCTTATTCATAATGGTACCCTGGAAACCTTAATCTGATCAAAACTGTGGAAGATACCGTCGTTTTTCTGACTGGAAAAGAAAGGAACTTTCAAGTCAATTCCCCAAAGAAACCGCAAACGAATAAAAAACAGTTTTAAGATACAAAACATGAATATTTAATTCATACTTGATCAGACAAAGCTTTTATTGGTACATGAGGCATTGAATATTTTACATAGTATCTGGGATCATATTTTACATAGTATCTGTGGTTATATTTTACATTTTATTTGGGGTTATATTTTACACAGTATCTGGGATCATATTTTGCATAGTATCCGGGGTCATATTTTACATTGTATCTGGGGTTATATTTTACATTTTATCTGGGATCATATTTTACATAGTATCTGGGGTCATATTTTACATTGTTTGTCATGTAAAGTGAAGAAATATTAAGATAAATATTTATTTATATATAAAATATACATCAGGGTTTCATTGGCCTTAAAACCCTGATGTATATTTTATATATTTATAATTTTGTAGTAGGATGGTAGGATGGTAGGAACCAAGAAACCATAAATCTCGGAATTCTGGCATTTTGCCATATATATATTATATATGTATATCCTTTCCTATCCATACATATTATATATGTATATACTTTCCTATCCATATATACTTTCCTATCCATACATGTTATATATGTTTATTCTTTCCTATCTATATATACTTTCCTACCCATATATACTTTCCTATCTAGATATACTTTCCGATCCATACATATTATATATGTATATCCTTTCCTATCCATATATACTTTCCTATCCATACATATTATATATGTATATCCTTTCCTATCCATACATATAATATATTTATATCCTTTCCTATCTATATATACTTTCCTATCCGTATATACTTTCCTATCCGTATATACTTTCCAATCCATATATATCCTTTCCTATCCATGTATACTTTCTATCCATATATACTTTTAAATCCATATATTTCCTATCCTATTTTAGCTTAACAAGAAATTTTGAGTGTTAATGTTTTTTAATTGACGAGAAGCAAATGAATATTAAATTTTCAAAAAAGTAGCATAAAAAGATCGATTTGTGAATTTCATTATCTTTTTTTTATTTTTAACCCAAGCTAAAATCCTTCCCGTTGTTTTACCAAACTTCCCACTCATAGTTAATCCCACCATTTACCCGGCCGTACGCTTGGTCTAAAATTACGATTTTTTCTATTTTCCCCTAAAAAGGTCGACCCACTCAATTTAGAATCTCAAAACCAATTTAAGAATATTTCCGTGGTTCTGCCGAATTCCCCAATCAAATTTAAGGCATATCGGTCCAGGGGTTCATGAGTTATGATCAGACATCCAAACAAAATAAACAAACAAAGATTACAACTTTAAATAAATAATAATACCATCTAATATTCAGTTCAATTATGTAAATGTACAGAAAAGCTGTCATCAAAAGAAATCCCGAGCTTAAATATTAGATTGATTTGTGAATATAAACATTCATAGAGTGGGACTCAAGCAACTGTGGAATAAAAAGACGACATTTAAAAAATCTGTTAATGTTTTGGGTTTTGTCAAGACTGTCTGTTTTGTTTAATGCAAATAAACGATATTGGGACAGAACTTAATGATTTTGAATTGTTCAGGGCTTCAAAATGGAACATGAGATAATTTGCTCTGCTAAAAAATTATAAATATTCAATTTTAATTTAGGACATTTTATTTAAATGATTTTTTTTGCAAAAACTTTTTTTAAAATTCGATTTACATTGATTTATGATTAGAGTGTAGATATTATCAGAATTAAACACTTTTAAACCTAGAAAAGCGGCAATACATTCAACATTATTGATCAGAATAAGGTTTCAAGGGTACCGTTGTGAATCTGGAATTGCTTCCTTTGACAAATACAAACACAAAAAATTAACTAATTTTAAATGTTTAATTTGAGAATTTTTCAACGTTTTAAAAATTTAATATTTTGAGTTCCAACCGAATATATATATATATATATTCGATATGAGGTTCTCAAATTTTTTTGGGCCTAATCGGTTTAGCCGATTCGGCGTTTATTGGCTGCAAACAAAGAAACAAACAGACAAACATATACTATATATGTGTACAGCGAAAGTTACAAAAATAATAAAGAAAATACAACTTTTAGTATAAGATATGTAGATCAACATATCTATCCTAATATATGGAACATTTTTATTAAAAACGGGACACACAAGAATTTCATCGAAAATCTGTAAACTTAACATAATTTTAGTTTTAAGCACCCCAACCCACCTGGACAACTCAATATCATTTTAAGAAATATTATAAATATAAATTGTGTTTATGGACACCGACATTTGGATTGAAATGGAGCGGAGCTAAATCACACTCGTCTCATGTACATTTGAATCCGAACTGAACCGTCCTTTACGGTCCTAGTTTTACTGCCCCGCCCGGTACACCAACTACACTGACAGACTATACACCAGGGGTCAAAATGGCTGGCCTAGCTCTGTAGGCAAGGCTAGCTGGTGCATCATCCAGGTTGACGCGGTCTGACTTTAGGTTGTATCTGGTTAAATTTACAATCACTAAAGACGCAAATTTGCGTGAAATATCTATAGAATTGGAAACCCTTAATCCTTAACCTGAATATCCAAAGTGGGCATTTTGATTTCTTGTTCAATCCTCTCTTTCTCTCTTTTAACCCTTTACAGATTCCGACCAATAAAAGTTTTCTTGTTAAATGGCGCGTAAAATTCCAAATTTCCCGGCTTCTGATTGGCTGTTTCTATGTGGTTGAATTTTATATAGTTTTTAGTTTTCAAACTGAAGATTAACTTAATCTTAAAATTAATAAAAAGAGAAGATCAAGCATCGATTTCAATTTCCACAATTCTAAAGTTTTCATCTCAAAAAACACATTTCTAATTATTTTGGGTTTGAATGGATTAATTGTAAGTCAATCAAAAGTTATGATTCAAAACAGAATTTTAATTCTTATGTATTTTAGAAAATAAAATATCAATTACATTTTGTTTTAAGTTTCCATTTCAATCAAATTAGGTCTCTCTTGCGTTATCTCAATCAAAAGTTCCAACCACAGATCAATTTGGTTTGGTTTGGAAAGTGTCCAAAGTTTGATTAATTGATTGCTCAGATATAATCTATACATATTCATAAACAAACATTCTTTAGCCCTCTTTAATCTATATATAAGAAAAAATAAATAAAAATATAGCTTGGGAACTAGTAGCTAAACTTTCCCTATGAAAGCACTTCTCAACTTTATTCATGCTTTATAATATAGATAATATTTTGTTTTAGTGATAATACTCTCGCCGCGGATGCGCGCGTATCTGCTCTATATCCGGTTCCGGTTGATCAAGAGGGAGGTCGTCAACACACTTGTCAAGAAAAGCAAGGTAAACAAGAAATAAAACCTTTTTTTTCATTTCCAGGATTTTTAACAATTCATTTGGCGCATTTTCAAAAATGATATCATTTCAAATGCTTCTTATATCAACGGTTTTAAAATCCCAAGAAATTTTTTTGTGAAAGTATTTTACAGTGACTTCGTAAATGGTTTTCATTTCATATCCACGATTAATAAAATTATTTTACAATTCTTTCTCTAAGCACGGTTAATAATGTAGAAAATATCGTAATTTTTCTAGTTTGAAAAGTGATTAATTCTTACAATTTACTCCAATATTTCTGTAGCAGAAATCTGCAAGTCACTTAAGAGAAACCAAAATTTAAAATAACCATTGTTTTAAGAGAAATCATGGATATCTCATTCAATTTTGATCAGACAAAGCTTTTAAGGGAAACCATTCTCAATTAAGGGAACTGGACATGCTTCTCAAACAAACTAAAATCATGATTTCTAAACCGTCCAGATCTAGATTTAAAAAAAAAATACTTTTCATAACACAATCTAATTTGAATGTAATTGCATGCATACATTTTTCAAAATCCCATTTGTTCTTTATGAAACAACCCAAAAATACTTCTAGGAATGTTGATGCATTAAAGAGTTGCCTGATTCACAACAACGATACCTTTTAAACTTTTTTTTTGTAAATTATAAGATAAAAAAAGATACCTCTTGTTCAAGTAATTCCCACTTTTCATAAAATCTCAGCTTTCTTGCAATAATCATAAAAATAATCGCTACTAATCTTACTTCTATCTGTGGCGTCTATAAGGAGAAAATTGTTAAAAACGACTCATGCTGAAGAACGTAGCGTCCATACAAATTCAGAAAGTTGCAAAATTCAACTCAGATCGAAAAATAAATCAATTTAATTCAATTTAAAATCAAACAAATCATTCATATATTACAACCAATAATCATCGATAATTTTTCGACACATTCATATAGTTTATTATTTCATAATATTTTATTTTTTCTGATATTCTGATAGCTACTTTTGAAAACACTTATTCCTGTTTCGAGGATTTTTTAAATGAAGAAGATATTTTTTTATTTTCCAGGAATGTTCGAAAATGCAGCGCCAGCGAAATATTATTATAAAAAAAAACAGAATAAAAACAATTATGAAATATTAACTATATAGGAATGTGGCGAAAAATAATCGATGACTTTTGTTTGTAATATCTATTGATTTGTTTGAAATTAAATTGATTATTTTACGATCCTAGTTGAATGTTACAACTTTCTGAATTTGTATGGACGCTACGTTCTTCAACATGAGTCGTTTTTAACAATTAGATAGAAGTAAGATTAGTAGCGATCAAAATCGCTTATTTTTCGCCGCAAGCCTCGCCACAACCCCCTTTCATTTTTCGCGAACACTCCCTTTGAGAGAAGCTTTTGAGGGTAGGGAGATTGGCAGAAACTTGAATGATATAAAAAATCAGCTTACTCTTACACTTAGATGATCGGGGGGTAAGTAGCCGCGCCAACTTCGCTTCGAGCCACAACTGATGTCACAAAACGAAGTTGTGACAGAGTACACATATGTACATAGTGCCTCTGAGCCCTCGCCCGAAAGCTCTTCTTAAATTATTGTCAGTTTCTCCCATAACTTTCTTAAATTTTAATTATAATCCATTGTTTGACGTCAATTGCGGTTCGGAAGTCCTATGGGTGCGACTGCCCCCTCCCCCTCTCCGTAGATAAGGATACTTGAAAAGATTATCCTCAAGGAGGGGATCCATGGGATCATAGGGAGAAAGATAAAGAAATTAATCTTTACAATTTTTAACATGCTTTTTTTGTAAACTTAATGGGACTTTAGCCTAGCTTTCAGCTCAAGTGACCTTCATGCAATTAATGATCATGTCAGATTAACAAGGGTACCATTGAAACCTTCGTCTGACCAATAATGTTGAAGAAATTGTCGTGTATCATGAATCGTGAATCGTGAATCGTGAAACGAGCATTGTTCCCTTTGCATTGAAGGTCCCTTGAAATAACGCTAACAGTCCCTTTTTGTCCCGAAATCTCATATTAGAGGGACTGTAGACGTAGAGGGACATGCCCCATTTACAAGGGTACCCTTTCACACCTTTATTTGATTTTATATGAATGAACTATCCTTGTTTTTCTAGATAAAATTTATTGCTTTTAATTATATGCTGCAGAGCGCGGGGGAAGCTAGGCGGCCATACGCCATATAACATTTTCCCCTTCCATGCCACATATTAGCTTTGTTGTCTTCCGGCGGCCATGAGCAACAACCGCACGGTCTTCCATGCCACAGCATTCAAGTCTTCCGGCAGTTATCACGTTTTTGAAATATAAATTTAGGACATTGAAATTGCAATTTTTAAAAATCCTTTCGCATTACGCGAAAGATTATACGTTAAAGAAGTTTTAGAAGTTTATCAATGAATTGTGAGTTCAGTTTATAAACTGCTTTACACTAGACATTTACACATTAGGGGCACTGAGACAAATTGTTTTAGAAAGTATAAAGATTAAGAAAAGATGAGAAAAATGACAATATTAATTGTTATTGCCTGAGCTTTACAGATTTCTTCAAAACAAAATTATATTTTGCAATTTTCTCGTTAAAAAATGTAAACTTTCGGTTATGGGCGACTTATAAACTTTCAGACTATGTTTTGGTTGCATAACTGTAATTATTTCAATCTAAAACTTAAATAAAAAGTCTTTTGCATGAAGTTGCTGGATTTTTGAAAATCACAATTTCAATACACTAAATTTATTATTTAAAAACGTAACTGCCGGAAGAATCAAATGGTGTGGCATGGAAGACCAAACCATGCAAGGCAATTCAATACGTTCTAAGATAGAAAAATGTGAATAAATCATTTTAATTCATACACTGTCCTACTCTCTACAGAAGGAACACTTTAATATTTGATATTGGTTACAGATTATTCAAAAAAGTTCTGTATTAATAATTATTTTTCCATCGATCCTTCTTTCTCCTTCCTGCAATTTAAAACAAAAAAATTACGAAACCCTGTAGAGCTGCCGATATTCTTTACATGTAAAAATTGCTGAGTATAATGCTACATATTTGAAATCTCATCGTTATTAAATTATAATTCTTATCTTTTCCTAAATTTTCTTCTGAATTCTTGATAGCAGTATTTAATTTAAATATAACACTACAAGAAGTGGTGGGCACATTAAGCTTTTTTCTTTTCGGTCGTTCATCGTAGGTGAACGATCCATTTCATTCCTTTTCTTCAATTGTTCAAAAAAACGTTCAGTAAATCGTTAGTTCAGTAAAATTGTTTGTTCAGTAAAAAGAACGATAGTTTTTTCAAAATAGTGTTCGAAAAATCGTTATTTAGTAAAAAAGATGGTGTTTAAAAAAATTTTTGTATAAAAAGTCTTTCCTTCAGTAAAAAACGATTTTTTAAAATCTTGTAGAAAATTCGTTCGTTCAATAAAAATCAATAGTTTTATCAAGTTCCTTAGAACAATCTTATTTTTTTTTCGTTTGTTTTTGAAAAACGATCATTGTTTCATTTCTCTAACAATCTATTACATTCGTCCATCCTTCGTTGTTATCTGAACGACACCCCTTTCCACGAAAAATGTTGTTCGTTAAAAAAACATTGCCCATCTCTAGTACTACAACTGTATAATCTGGGCAGTAAAGCTAGAATTTAGAGCTAATTTAGATCCAACAGCAATTTATTTTAATGAGGAAACCCATTCAAAGGAGAGCTCAAAGATGAGAGGAAAGAAAGGGACTGCTTCAGAAAGCAGTTAGATCTTATAAAAACTTTGATAGAATTAGTTCAATAATGGGAAGCAAATAGATTATCAAGCACAATAGGTGGCAACAGAGAAATGGACCAATTATACACGACGTCACAAGTGTCAAATATAATAAGGAAAACGAAATTGTCTCACATTAGTTGACATGTTTTCCAAGATTAAATAAAAAAGTGTAAAAACAGAAAATAAAGAACACATAAAATTGTACTTATTTTACTGTAAGATAAACATTTTATTCTAAAATTATCACTATTATTAATAATTTTGTCGGACACGAAAACTGAGGTGACACTTGTGACGTCAGAATACAGCTGTACTGAGAGTGTAGAAATTCTACGTTGCCATCTATTGTACTAGAATCTATTTGATTGATTGAGGTTTACTTAGTCCTCCTAGTGGCAATAATTCTGTTCCTCTGTCTGTAATATTGGTCGGCAGTCGCAATCAGGAAAGGATAAGCCCCATGCGGCTCCATTGGGTCGAAATATTGAAAAGGGCTTCCTCAGAGCATAATGCATGATCAAGAATCATCTATCAATTTGATATACATACTTTGATAAACATCAACCTTCTAAAGATTTTGTTTTGTTATTTTGTCAATCTGAAATTACCATGCCAAATTTTCAAGATGTATTTCTATGAAATACATCTTGAAAGAAAGATCAAAGCCGACAATCACGCCTTTGTTTGTTGAGTATCACTATATGTGAGTTACTTCAAGTGATGTTTTGAAGAATAAGTCCGTGAACGAAAACTTTTATTTCTTATTAATTTTTTATTATTTTAATGACATATTATTAAATACTCTTTCGGGAGGTCTTTTTGGAGTTTAATGAAACCTTGAGTAATAGAAAAAAGAGTCAGGCTTAATTACTTGGCACCTCTCCCATCCCTCCCATTGAAGGGCGATTGGAGGGTTGGGTTGTCTTGATAAATATAAATATAGGTTTTCCAACGGATGACTTCCCAACTGACAATTTCCCAAATGTGCAATTTTCCAAGATTAAATTTTCCTAATTTTTCTGAAAATTAACTTTGATACATTATGACAATCTATTATAAAGTACAGGGTGTCCCACGAAACATGACATTTGATAAATAGTTATTTTTAGTTAAACAAATCTTTGCTTAATTATATTTTACTTTGAAATCAATTTTAATATAACATGACTCCCATATAATATTTTCATTGATCTTTGGTATCAAACAACTAAACAAATAATGGAAAAAAACATTTTAAACTATTCACCAACTGTCATGTTTCGTGGGACACCCTGTACAAAAACTTTTACTTCTTTTCTAAAAAAAAAGAAAAAAACTATGACTTTCATTTCACTTTATAGTGATTATGACTGCAGGTTGAACATTTTAGTTATGTCTAACACATCGATAGGATTTCTTCCTAAAGTTTAGTTATGTCTAACACATCGATATAGGATTTCTTCCTAAAGTGAGGAAATTAATTGAGGGAAGCATTGTGCAGGTTCATCTCTCTTACCCTTCCCCCCTCTCATGTAATACTCCGCGATAAAGGAAAGTTTTAGGATAAAAGAAGGAATTAATGTTTATTCATTGTCCTCAGCTTGGTTTATCTGCAGAACCCAGCATAGGCGCCATCTTTCTTCTTCAAGGGATTGTAGGCATAATTTCAAGTGACCCTCCATTTGTTGAATGGCATGTCTAATTCACAACTTTTACTTATTCAACCTTTTTCAGCCTTTTTCAACCTTTATCAACCTTTTTCAACCTTTATCAACCTTTTTCAACCTTTTTCAACCTTTTTTAACCTTTTTCAACCTTTTTCAATCTTTTTCAACCCTTTTCAACCTTTTTCAACCTTTTTCAATCTTTTTCAACCTTTATCAACCTTTTTCAACCTTTTTCAACCTTTTTCAACCGCTGTTAGGACATGATATAAGGGTAATTTTGAATTCAACATGTAGCATCAGCTGCTGTGTTGACTGTAGAGTTTACACTTCATGTTTACTTGTGAACACTATTTGAGAGATAAACGTACAGAGTTCTCTAGCCCTGATGATCAGTTAATTGTTTAAATGGTTCCTGTTAATCAGGCTTTGCTATATGGAGGGTCACTTGAACTTGCGCTTACAGTCCCTGTTAATTGAAATGTACACATTCCAATGAAACGTATATCATTATTTTAACTGCGTAATGACAATTTCCAATTGCGGTTTCTCATTTTCATTGTCTTTCATACAAAAGTTTTAAATGGTTCTTTGTGAAGTGTCCTTTGAAATATCAAGCTTTCACAAGCCCTAATTGAACATTTTGTGAAAGGATTTTTTTCTTTTTCCAATTGGGCCGATCTCAGAAATTGCATTTCTTCATTTCGTGTAGATAATCTGAGAAATCTGAAAGCATATTTTCGGAAAATACTTGCTTCATTGAAATCCAATTTATTTTGTTGAATAAAGGCAGATTGGGAATAATGAGACCCTTGTAGACTAAATATATCCGGTTGAGCTGTCCATGGAATAGAACGCCTACTTTCAGACTAAATATATCCGGTTGAGCTGTCCATGGAATAGAACGCCTACTTTCAGACTAAATATATCCGGTTGAGCTGTCCATGGAATAGAACGCCTACTTTCAGACTAAAAATATGATTTAATCAAAGTCTAATAAACTTAAAACGCATGTCAAGCAGTGTGCACAAACCCATTTAACTTATTTATAAGTTTTTATTTCTAATCAAATACACTAAAACCAGTCAAAATGTTGTCTTTCTATAAAAGAGTTTTGTGCAAAGAGAATAGAATATATATTAGAGTGGAATTTACTAAAAAAAGTGTAAAACGGCCATTTCGTTGTACCCGTTTCCATACTGCAGGTGTACTTCACATATTTGTGCTATATAACCTTTTGGGCCCTGGAACAACATTTTATAGAAAGTCTAAAATAATATTAAAAGAAAACCAAATTATGAAATAGGCTGGTTTCATAATTGACCAATGATCATTTCACATAAATTCTATGAAATTTACAATCGTTTACAAACGATGATTTTCCATTATAACTATAAATCAAATGATGTTTTTTTATTCATCTAATTCATTTTATAAAGTTTATTTAACACCTTTAAAAAATTCTAAATTGAAACAAATAGCCTAGGGAACTTACTGTATTAATGTAATCTACGGCATATAATTTGTGAACATTTACATGATTTGTACACTTTGAACTCCCTTTCAGGCTGAAAGGGACTGAAAAAAATCATACCGAAGGATTCTTTAAATTCCCCTCTAATACATATTCTATTCTCTCTGTGTACAATTACCGCGTATACAATAACCTATTCTGAATATTTCTTATACTAATGAAGTACCCGTCTGCAAAGCATGCGTAATCATATGGTAGGGAGGTCCGCGTCAGTTTTATCTCCCTTCTATTTCATACTCCTTGGATAGCACTTGCTGTGGGTCACCAAGGCCGATAGAAGGGGTCAGTCTGGTTTGAATCCAAATTAACCCGAGTCCACTGTGCCTTAAATACATAAAATGAAGTCACAAGGTTACAAAGTCGAATGTTTACTGTTTAACAGCTTGACGTACTAGATTGCTATGAACTTGTTTGATCAAATTGTAAACAAAGCCTAAATTTTTCTTTGACAGGGTTTAAGGCACAGCTGTATGGCATTTTCATTGCATGATACAGTAAGAACCAAAAAACTGGAATAGGAAGATGACTTTAATGTTTTCTAATGTTTATTGGGCTATTTTAAGTCATTACTCGAGTTTTAAAGTCGTCTTCCTTTTCCAGAGTTTTCTGTCAGTTTTTCCATATGAGTTTTTTCATGCAGTGCTTTCTTCTTGCTAGGCTACAGCCCTTGGCCCACCAGTCACCGTTTTAAGGCTCATTAGACACAGCACTCGGCCCACTAGCCTGCCCCAGCTGCAGTGCCTGGTCCCTCTAGTAGCTTGAGGCACCTTAGAAGGCCTCACCTAACCTGAACCCTGTCCAGAGGGATATGTTTTATTCAGAAATTAATAAATAAAAAATGACACCTTCTATGTGTATTCTAGCAAAAGTAAAATTGACAAAAATTTCAAAATATATCACAGCTAAATATTATTAACCACCCCGTGAGGTTTATAGCCATTGGGATTCCTCTGAATCTAATCAAGAAGAAAAAGGGACGAGATAAAGACATTTCTCACATGAAAGAGGTTACAGGGTTCTTAGGAGTTTATAGTTGTAGAGATATACTCTATATACAGCCACTATTCTTAAGCATAAAACTCTTTATTTTCCTTCAATGTGCAGTAATCAAGAATCATACTCTTTCTGTAATTGAAAATCTTATCCAAATACTACAGTTCAAAGACGACAGCAAGGTTGGCTTTAATGTTTGAAATAAATTGCGGCATTCATTACACGTGGATTTAACGGTTCTGTCAATATTCCGGAAAGCTGTGACTTTCGATCACAATTTGACCCCTTAAACATCATTTGTTAGCCTTTTTTCTTAAAAACTTTTTTGTTGGCATATGCATTTGAATGAAAATTTATAACATAAACAAATCGGTAAAGCAAAAGATTATTGAATTAAAGACCAAAACACGTTTGATATAAAATAGAAGAAACCGAATGCTGCTCACTCTGGTTAGTCCGGTGTGATTAGACAACCTAATTCCTGGAGCAAAACTCTTGAAATAAAAATCACGAAATTGGCATTTCCAACATGTGGTCTGTCTGTCAAAATTACAAAAATATATTTATATAAAAATATAAAATCTAATAAAATATAAAAATATAAAAATAAAAAATCTATTTCTTTGCCAAGTCTACATACTATAAAGATCTTTTTCATAAATCCCATAAAATCAACCTTTTACAATGTATAGGAATCATCTAAGTTATTTTTTCCAGATGGGAGATTGGTTTCTGTTCTACATGCTGGGACAGAACGTGGACAGCATCATCTTTAAGGAGGTCATGCACGAGCTGGCCCGTAGGCTAGGGCATCAAAGCAAGGACTTTAATGATGCTTAGTGATATTAGTAAATAATTAATCCTTATCTGTCTTCAGTTGATCATGGTCACTCAACCCATCAGTCACCCTCCCCTAAATACTGAGACGTGAGCCTCAAGGGGAGGGAGCCACCTCTAAATATTGAGATGTGAGCCTCAGGAGCCTCCTCCAAATATGAGATGTAGCCTCAAGAGGAGGTCGAACCTGTTTGGACCACACACACTTTTCCAATAAAGTGATTTTCTACTAAAACTAGTTCAGTATTTTTAAAGACGCCTGAGCCAAACGTAAATACTCTGAAAGTGTTCTTGTTTTTGTTCTTATAAAAATGGAAAATATTACGTTCCCGGTCCCCCAGGCACAGGACAAGTGAACTGGATTGAATCTCTCTAGTTTAAGAAAACTGGTGTTATAACTTTGTTTTAAAAAGATCTCAGACTAGTTAAATTCCGCTATTGTATCAATATCAGTGAGTACATAACTTTATCTAACCTGATGTACACATATGCCAAAGTACAGTTGATACTGTACAGTATGCCACTGCTGCACTGTACAGTATGACACTGCTGCTCTGTACAGTATGACACTGCTGATCTGCAAAAAACAGTACAGCTTCTCTGTATAATGTCTGTACAATACAGTAAAACTGATCAGTACTGTAAAGTACAGCTACTCTGTACAGTACAATGCAGTACAGATACTCTTTACAGTACAGTGCGCTACAGCTACTCTGTACTGTACTGTAAAAACAGTACAGTACAGTACAGTATAGTATAGTAAATCGCAGCTAGTGTGTACATTACAGCACAGCTTTTCCGTACAGCACGGCAGAGTACAGCTGCTCTGTACAGTAGGGTACAGTACAGCTGCTGTGTACAGTACGGTACTGTACAGTTGCTCAAACAACATTTTCCAGTTTAAGATTCTCATTTGTATTCCAGACTCTAGAATTTCATTACTTTTACCCCAAAAATATTTCTTATACAAATGGAGTACCGTCTGCAAAGCATGTATAATCATATGGTAGGGCGAACCGCGTCAGTTGTATCTCCCTTCTATTCCTTACTCCCTGATTATTATGTACAGAAATTACTGTTAAACTAGCCAAATATTGACCATTGTGTTTGTACAGTGTAAATCTACCAAGTGTACAGTGTACGCCTGTGCAGTGTATTCTACATCCTCTTTTGTATGTACAAGTACGTTGTACAGAAGTACACTGTACACTGAGAAAAATGTTCCGATGCAAAATAGTTATATTGCTACAGAACTGGATGCATATTCAATAAAAATATCTTTTGTAATAATGCATATACGCATTTTTGTACAGTCCCGTTTTCCCGTCTATAGTCCGTATGTACACTGTACAACTTGTTCTTAATGCCTCAAATTCCATAGTACTTCAAATGAGAATGCATTCACTTCTATCTTAATATCACTAAATTGTCTTAGAACATTGTCCTCATTGTAAGTGTTACTGAAGCACACTGTTAAATATTACACATGTACAGTGTTAGAGTGTATTCATGTACACATGTACATATGTACAGTGTTAGAATGTATTCATGTACAAACTGCCATCCTTTATGTACAGTTATAAGAGAGGAGTATCTATTCTCAATTTTTATGTACATATATAATTCCAAAATAGTTTATTTAAGTCTATAAATCAAGATTATGTAAATATTTCAATTCTAAATTATATAAAAAATCATACAAATATTTTATAAAAAGATTGTAAAAGAAATCACTAATTGTATATAGATATATACCAAAGTTGGATAAATTGGTCCTAGAAGGGGTAGTCATGGGTGTTTATTGTTAAATCATGAAATAAATGGTATTATGTTAACTTTGATCCAGATTTTCTCAAAACAAGAAGCTCTAGCATTGTTGAGAAAACACAGGATTAAAAACTATTTAATCATGATTTAGACTAAAACTCGTGAACTATCCCTTTCGACATGTCTCAACACATATTGGAGCTCCTAAATCTCGCACAATTGATTTGTAAAAAACGCATTTTTCAGTTTAAGCCAGATCTTTTAAAGGTTTTTTTTTGCCACATTTGGAAAGCTCTTAAAGTGCAAGGAATCCATTTGAAGACCCTCAAAGGGGTTCCTTAAACATGAGGGGTTTCCAAAATGTACCCTATTGCCACTAAGACAGTGGCCATGAGCCATGAGATATATTTGGAGAAGCTTTCTCAACTCTTTTTGCCAAAACAGTCCTTATTATAGAACCCTGTTTTATATATTTAGACACGGATAAACATTTTCAGATTCAAAGCAAAATATGGCGATGGGAGCTGTTGCATTCTTAAAGGGACTGTAATCGTAATTTCAAGTGACATCTCCATGCCAAGATGGCGATGACTCATTCACAACAGATCCTTAAAAACTTTGTTTGATCAATTCAAGGATGAAGTAAATATTAATGTTTACAATTTTTATTTTGAATTGTGGAAAAACGAACATATCTTCCACATTTTCGATCAAATAAAGGTTTCAAGGGTACCGTTGTGAATCGGGCATTGCCATCCTTGCATGGAGGGTCACTTAAAATTATGCTTACAGCATTATCTCTCGTAATTATAGACGTACGCAAATCGCAAATAAATCGTATATCTCTTATCACGAATGTGTCGGCTCCTATCACATAATCACTGCTGTGCAACGGAACATTTTTATTCGTGTTATCTAAGCTTTAAGTAACTTTGCTTTTATAGATAAAATTGAAACCTGTTTGAAATCCTCAAGCAGCCTAATTTGTAAAAAAAAATATTTCTTGCGCGCCTTGTTCTTCTTTACCACTTCTAATTCTGTTATTTAAAACTATTTCTTAAACTCTTTTTAAATAGACATGCAGGGGGACCTACACAGAATGAAATTTCAAAGGCGATTTGAGTCTCATTTTTTGTGAGCAACCCTGTACTTTGGGATAAGAATAAAAAAACAGTTAAAAGACGACATTTAGGTTGGATTAATTTTAATTAAATGTGAACAGTCTTGCTGGTATACAGTATACGGCATACAACAACAGGATTTGATTTAATCTTAGATTTTAACTTTTATCTGCTACATCTTCTCTTTTTTTAATCATAAAACAATAAAAATAAATCGTGGACTTTTTTTGAGGTAAATTTTTCATTTCAATTTCAACCTTCTCTGGGGTCAATGTGAGGCCCCACAAAAAACTGTTGAAAAGATTAGAAAGTCCAGTGATCTTTCCGAATTGTCCAGATCAATCTGTGACCTTTCTTCGGCCTTTGTTTGTCCTTTAAAACAATAAAATACTTAATATCTCTTATATATATATACTTTGCTTGGGTGTCTCTTTGTATCCAAAAAAAAACGTCAAAACGGCTGAACCGATCGATGGGTCTCACATGACCCAATGTAAAATTTATTGACGGGCAAAATTAAAAATATTCTCCGGGAAAAAGCTTTCAAAGCGACAATTTTAAAATGACCACTTTCAGAGCATGCAGCTAATTGCTAAAACTGTTGATAAAACAGATGACTTGAAGCATCCTAAAAAAGTCTGATAGAAAATAATGTTTAAGATTTGTATATTTTAGGGCCGGGAACAGATTTAAAAGTATCTATTGCTACGATACTTTTTCAAGAATATTATAAGAGTTTTAGGATTAAGGATAGACTACCCCCCCTTTAACATCCTTCTCTTTACTTCCCCCTACCCCCTACTCCTTTACTATACTATCCCCAGTTAACCTTCTTTATACTATTCTTCCCTACCCCCTTTACTCCCTTCTTTATACTGTCCTCCTTAACCCCTTACTCTAACATCTTCTCTATACTGCTACCCCCTTACCTTCTACTTAAGTATTTAGAACTGGTAGGATATTTAAACAAAAACAGAGCAAGTTTAATGGAGTTGACAGCGTCATAGCACTGTTCTACAGCATTCCATTACAAGTTTTTGGCATTTCGAGACAGGTTTTGGCATCGCATGATAGCAAATATATTGGCATTAGCAAATATGACTTAGTGGATAAAACTCAATTCCTTTATAAATGAAATAAGTGAAATAAATGTAGTTAAACTATCACTGTCTAATTCAAATATCTATATTCTAAATCATTAAATTTAAACATTATTTTATTCAGTTGCATTAACAGTTTTAATATTTTAAAATGGAAATTTCACACTTGTTCAAGCATTAGATAAAATAAATCACAGTCATCATCACATAATAGTATGAACATTGTTCAGTATGCCAAAACAAATCAATAAGGTTTTGGTACATTCTGTAGAGAACCGGTTCTGAGGAGTTGTTAATATTTCGTAGAAAATCGATTCTACGGAAAGTAGATTTATTTTTAATCTGTAGAGAACCCACGAAAGATAGTTTTGTTTCTATTCTGTTGTGAACTGGTTCTACGGAGGACAGATTGCTAATATTATCCTAGTTGCTGTACATTCTGCAGAGAACCGCTATTAACTGGTACGAACTGGTACATGTAGCCTTTCAAGCTCTCCTGCAAGAAAACATAATTAAAGGACTGTCTACAGAGGGGAGGAAGGCCAGCCACAACAATTTCTCATACGAGCCACATTAACTTATATAATTAACAAAAAAGATTAGTTTTAGAAACACGGAATTATTTGCGGAATTCTACACCAGGAATTTTTGAAAATGCTTGTAAAAATGTGGAAATGTCTAAGGACATTGGCTCGAAAACTTTAATTCACTTAAAACTATTTTATTTCGATTTACAAAAATTCAATATTTTATTCTAAAAAAATTGTTTATATTAGAGGATTAGACACTTTAAAAAAAAGGATATTGGAAAGACGAGGATTTCTAATAAAATAAAATTAGAGCGTTTCAAAATTATTGTATTTTTTAATTTGTAAAGAAAGTAGTTAGCGTTGAAATTTGATGAGTTGGACAAAATAAACAAAAATTAGGCCAATCCAATTTATTCTCAAGAGTTAGAAAAAAGCTGAAATTATGTTTTTTCATTATTTTTCATTTTTCATTTACATAATTTCCTCAGAGCATCAACAATAATTAAAAAAATCCATAATTTTACTCCCAAAAGAAATAAATTAGCGCCCTTATTTCAATCAAATATTCGGTTTTTTAAATTAGATTCTATTTTATTTAAAAATACTCCTTTTCCCAATAGTCTATAAGGTTTCTACCTGAAGAGCTCTGATAACAGCACTCTGGAACCCGAGATTGGTCTTGACATCCTGGCGATCTCCCTGATCAGACACTGGAAG